CAATAATAAAGATAGCAACGATAGAAGTAAATGCCACAGTCATCTGCAAAGTTAGAGAGTATCAAAAGCAAGCACACAAAAGAAAATTTAGTTAATAACAGCTTGCACTTAACAGTAAACACTTAAATTACTTACTGGCAATCTATCCCACACAAGACTAGCATCATTTGGGTTGAGATGATAGTATGAGGACCCAAAAGCAACGGCTGCCACACCAATATAGAAGCATGTCCAACCCCAAAGCTCTCCTTGCAAGCTTTTTGAAGCACATATCAAGTGGAATTAGTTTGAAGTACTGGACATATAAACTTTGAAGCCTTAACCATACGTAGAGCAGATATTTGTAAACAGTTTACCTCAGCTTGAAATAGTTACCGTGGTGACAAAGTACAAGACCTATTAGACCGATCACAAGGAAAGGGAAATTCGAAACCACATTCAGCGCGTTGGGAATCCCTGCAAAAGAAAAAGAAGGCATGAAAAATTACAGCAGCAATTCCAAAGGCAGTATATACCACCCAGTAGCCAATCAAAATGAATAGCTGACATGAAAACAGAACTGGTAACACTGACTTCAAAATAGAAGATAAATCTGATTTTACGTATTATTCAATCTAAACTAAAGGTAATGAAGGGGTGAAATGTCCGACTCTTAAACATTTAAGGCGAGAGCAAAATACTTAATTTTTGTACGTGAGTACTAAACTTTTCAAATTCACTATGCTCTTCCACAGCAACATGAATGTGCAAAAACCAATTTCCAGATAGCAGGAGCTAACACTTTGCTTAAGTGAAAATCAGAGAAGGACAATTCAGCATATAACAGAGAGAAAACAAGCAATCTGCTGCTTGCTCTGTCCTCATGAGTATCTGCTGAAAACCATCTACAATTTCTTGTTCTTATTTTCTCTGAACTTAGTTTAATCATATTGTCACAAGCTAATCTCAGAACTCTCAACTCCCTCAGAGAAAATCATCATAACCATCATCACTTCGACGTGAGGATGGATCAGAATGGCTATAGGTAGTAAAGAGTAAAGGTTAAAACAGATGTAGGACTAATTGGAAATATACAAATGTCATAGGCATACAACATGTCAACATACAGATGTAACTAAATTTAAAACAACTTGCATACAGGTACCAAAGTACACCCAGTGGCGGACCTCGAAGGCAAGGTATGGATTCGGCCGAACCCAGTAGCTTTAGTCCAAACCTTCTATTTTTATTAAGAAATCTACTAAATATGTACAAAAATTAAATTCAGAAACCAGTTATTAGCACGTGATGTCCGCTATCCTAGAATTTAGAACCTATAAAGTTCAAATCTTGGCTCCGCCTCCGAATACACGACCATAGTGATCCTTGTAACAAAAGGACAAATACAACAACCAGGGCCGGCCCAATGGCCAAGCAAGTAAAGCCGTTGCTTAGGGCCCCCAAAATTTTCTGATATTTAATGTATTTGTCCATTTGTTTTAATAATATTAAGTATTTGAAAAGAAAAAAAAATGGAAGTTTCAAGGAAAGGGGACGTTGGAGAACAATTGGAAAAGGAATATATTTTGGGAATTCATGCCTTACGCGTGAACATTCCACTATGTTGTCTCATTTATCTACCATTATTATTATAAATGGGCCCACATTCTTTATCTTTTTTTATCTTTCTTTACAAAGCCCTCTCTACATTCCAAATTTCCAATCTCATTCAGTTACTACCTCAAAATAAAAGAACAGAGCACAAGTAACATCTGTTTGATTTGTTCTCAAGTATTTTGGCCTTACATCAAGAATTTTGAAGTAGCAAAAGCTTATCAAATTATCTATTTGTTGTCTTGTTGAATCATGTTTGATCGTTCTATATTTAATTATTTGCATCTACTTTTTAATTTTTTTGGATATATTTTCTTTGTAAGTATATATTGTCTTTTTAGTTATTTATTAGATTTTTAATATGTCAACTAGAAAATATGAATCCGGATGTTCAAAACGTCAAAAAAGGAAAATGATTGAAACTCTAGTACAATCCCAAAAAGGAGCACTTGATAAATTTGTAGCGAATAGTAAAAATTCTAAATCAGAAAATGTGGAAAATTTGGAGTAGTACAACGCATATATTCACTATTTTCTTCTTCTACTAAGCGATGGAAAATTTTAAAAAATAATGTACCCAACTAACTCTTAAATCATTATCACAAACGCGTTGGGAAAGTCGTATTGAAAGTATTAAAGCAATACGATTTCAAACTCCACAAATAAGAAATGCTTTGTTGAAATTAGTAGAAGTTAGTGAGGATCCAAAAACTAAAAGCGAAGCTAGTTGTTTAGCAACTTATGAGTTTGAAAATTTTGAGTTTTTACTGGGTATGACTCTTTGGTATGATATACTATTTGCAGTTAATTCAGTTAGCAAACATTTACAATCAAAAGATATGCATATTGATGTTGCCATAGATCAACTTAGGGGTTTGATTTCCTTTTTCAAAAAATATAGAGAAGAAGTATTTACAACTGCCATGATTTCTGCTAAGGAAATTGCATATGAGTTGAATATAGAACCTGAATTTCGTAATAAACGTGTAATATATAGAAAGAAACAATTTGATGAGAATATTGATAATGAAATTACAAAATCTCTTGAAGAATCTTTTAGAGTTGATTACTTCTTATACATAGTAGACCAAGCTATTTTTTCACTTCAAAGTAGATTTGAACAATTTGAAGCGTATGAAAATATTTTTGGTTTCCTATTTAGTGGCAAAAAGTTGAGATCTCTAGATGATGAGAACTTAGAGAAAAATTGTCTTAACCTTGAATGTTCTTTGAAACATAATAGTAACTCTGATATTGATGGTTTAGACTTATTTTATGAATTAAAATTTTTAAGGGAAATAATACATGTAGAAGATGATACTCTAATCGATATACTTAATCATATAAAAAGACTTGCTTCTTTTCCAAATGCTTATATTGCTTATAGAATAATGTTAACAATTCCTGTAATAGTTGCCTCAGTGGAAAGAAGTTTTTCAAAATTAAAATTAATAAAATCTTACTTAAAGATCAACAATATCTCAAGATAGATTAAATGGATTAGCTATATTATCAATTGAAAAAGAATTATTAGAAGAAATCGATTATAAACAAATTATTAATAATTTCGCATCTCAAAAAGCTAGAAAAATAAATTTCAAATAAAATTATGAGTTTTCTTCTACAACAAAAATCTTAGGGCCCCTTATTTAAGTTTGGCTTTAGGCCACAAATATCATTGAGCCGCCCTGACAGCAACATGAGCTAATATTTTGCTATAAAACAAATTAATTTAACCATATTAGCACACTGAATATAAGTTCAATACTCTGGAGCAACAGTGAACCGACACTTAAAGCAACAAAAACCGGTTCATGAATCATGACCTAGAACTGTAACAATATCGCAAATTGAAAGCTAAAGACCCAAATTTTAAAGAAAGAAAAAACATAGATTAACATTGAATATGCGTATACCCAAAAACTGGCGTTGATCAGCAAAATTATGATATTCTTGAGACTGAGGAATTGCAGGAGTGACAATCATTAGCACTACGAAGCAGAAGATTGCAACTCCCCATGCCCACACACTTCTCTTCCTCATTTTTTTTGCGTTGCGTGCCCTAATTGTGATGAAGCTCAAGTTCTGCTCAGTGCTCAGAGAAGACTTTGATTTTCAGGAGATCATTTTTCAACGGAAGGAAACTTACCCCGCTAAGTCGTTTGACGTTCGGAAACGAGTTTTAAAGTTTTAACTAGGGGCTGTGCATTTGGATCCGATATCCGAAATTCGAACCGATCCCTCAATTTCGGATTTCGGATTTCAAATCGGATATTTGAATCGGATTTCGGATTATGTTTATTAAAATTTTGGATATTATGATCGAATTTGGATTGGTATAATTTTAATCCGATCCGAAATCCCGAAATTATTAGGGCATGTATAAATACTAAACTTTAATTTCTGATAGTTTCCTCCAAGTTATTACCTTTACAATTGTTGGATTTAGCTACACTGGCACCATAATACCCTCATAATTACAGGAAAAAAAAATTCTTATTTTATTGCCTCTTCTACAAAGAAAATATAAGTATGAGTTTTGCAACTTAGAGCCATAAAAACTCGAACCTCCAGAAAAATATTTTTTTAGAGATGCAATGCTGATAAAAGGGATGAAAAGCAAAGTGATGTTTGTATTAGCACAGAACACAGAAAAAGCAGATAAGATAGCTGCATTAGCCGATTATATTAGTAATAGCCTTAATAATACGTATAATCCGATATGAAAATCCGAAATATTTATCCGATCCAAATTTTAAAATCTAATCCGATATTAATTCAGATTGCATTTTGTAGAATCCGAAATCCGAAATTTCAATCCGAAATATGCTAAATCCGATCCGATTCGTGCACAACCCTAGTTTTAACCCAATCCCGAGTTAGGAAGGAAAAATATTTTCTTATAAGAATAAAATATTTTTTAGTAGTTGGTGAGTAAGAAAATATTTTCAGAAAAATATCTTATAATAATGTTGGTAAATCAAATAATATTTTGTTTTAACGTATAATAAATTTCTTACTCCATAAATAATGATACTTAAAAATAATAGATGAAATCGTACCACATAGATAAAAAATCAAAATAATTGTCAAATAAATTAACATCACTCAATAGCTACTAATATTGCTTAAAGCGAAAGTCATAATGCGGAAACTTAAAAGTTCGATTTAAATTTTGTGGCATACTTATAAACTATTAGTAATAGCTCTCTAGATAAATTTTAACGCAAAATACTATCAAATTGGAAACTCTATTATTAATCTCTTAAATAAATATTTAAAGAAAAATATTTTCATTCAAAAAAACAAAACACTTAAAAGAATTTATTCCGAATAAAACATTTTTATTCCTAACAAACACACATTTGCAAATTGACGCATGCCGACGGCGTTCCCGGCAGTGTAGAGTGTAGACAAGCAAAGCCGCATCAGCACTCAGCCCCACACAAAAGAGTAACAATATTCCCATCTCCTTCTCTCTCCAATATATAAACCAAAACCCTCAACTGCCGCCGCAGGGTTTCTCTCCTCCACAGCCACCTTCCCCTTTCAGCTCCCAAAGTTCCAACAAACTCTCTCTCTCTCTCTCTCTCCCTCTCTCTGTCTCTCTCTCTCACACACACACACACGCCAAGGGATCGAAGAGAGAGTGAGTTCAATTATGGCTCAGTCACTTGAGCTACTACTGATTCAATTTTTGATGCCTGACAATGACGCCAGAAGACAAGCCGAGGACCAAATAAAACGTTTAGCCAAGGATCCTCAAGTGGTTCCATCACTGATTCACCATCTCCGCACCGCCAAAACGCCTAACGTTCGTCAGCTTGCGGCGGTTCTCCTCCGTAAGAAAATCACTGGCCACTGGGCTAAGTTATCCCCTCAACTTCGCCAGCTTGTGAAACAGTCCCTAATTGAGAGCATCACCATGGAACACAGGTCCTTTGATTCATTTCTCTCACTTTTTAAGTATCAAAATTGCAACTTTATTTGCCGCTACTAATTTGGTAGGCCGCTGCTATATAGGTTTACATGCATGTTTGTATCCACATTTTGTTTTAAAAAAATCACTGTGTTATTACTTTATGAGGTCTGCTGGATTAGAATTTTAGTACAATTCTCCATTATAGATTATAACACATGTACTGTTAACTGTTGGTAATCTGTGTTCGAAACCAGAAAATCAGAGAAGTAAAGAAATGTTAGTTCAATAAACAAAACATAAAATAATTTCCCAGCCCACAAGTTGCTTAAGGAATTTAATCCCCTCACTGGATTACTTACTCCCAGGATGGAACAGAAAAACTATTCTGTAATACTGGCAATCGTAACAAACGGAGCAAATCACACTTTGACACTTTATTTATTTGGAAAAATAATGAAACAATGTAGAAAAAAGGGAGGAAGTTTTCAGATTTTCCATGTCTGAAAAGTGAGGCTAAGTCTCTAAATTTATAGACAATGAAAGGGTGAGATGAAGAGGTGCAATTCAAAAGGTGCCTCTTCCATTTCCCATTCACACCCATTCACGAAACCTAACATTAACTGTATACAAGGTTTGCAGAATCAAGAGATTCTTTGTTGAGCTTTTTGTTCATTTTCTTACTGATGAAGTCGATTTTTGTTATCTGATTATTCTCGTAGTAATGGATGGTAGAGTCACTGATTTGTCAAGTAAGCTGATTGAGTTAGAATTGTACTTTCTGTAGTCAGTTTGTTCTTGTAATAATTTACTCGATGATATATGTGTGTGTGAAAAGAATTTAGAGCACGGCCTTTGTTTTTGTGTTCATTCTAGTTTTTCTATGGAGATGCATTGAATTCCTTTACCTAGCCGCTGTTATTCCACCTCTATGTGGATAATATTCGTGGAAGCTAGGAAAGATGATACTTTGCCTGCTACTGATCTGTTGTGATGCTCATTTTGCAGTCCTCCGGTGAGGCGAGCTAGTGCAAATGTGATCAGTATCGTTGCAAAGTATGCGGTTCCAGCTGGAGAGTGGTCAGATTTGTTGCCATTTTTGTTCCAGTGCAGTCAAAGTGCACAAGAAGATCATAGAGAGGTATGCTTTAGATGAACACTTGATTTATGCACTTTCTTTTTCAATTACAAATGCAGCTTCAGGGCTTTCGTAAATGAAAAGCTTCATACATGCTACTTGAGATTTGAGACTATGAAAATTTGTTTGTTGGTAGCTTATATTCATCCAGTGGTGATTTGCGGCCAGCGGTAAGACAGCGTTGCGATTAACTGCAACCACTTATGCTAGTGCAAGACACTTACTGCACTTTCTTTTCGATCTTCGGATGGAAAAACTACAAAGTGAAGCAACTTATACCCAAAAATCTTAGAAGAATTAACCTAAATAGCCGCCTATCCGACCGTTTAAACTAAAAATAACCAGCAGATGTATAATGTATATAAAATATGTGTATAACCGTGTAAAATCAGTGTACAATCTATGTATACCGGCTGAGAAAAGTAAACAGTGAATCCTGCCGGCTTTTGTGTAAAGATCCCAAAATCTTAATTGCTTTATACCAATAAAATTCCTTGCAATTACTGAGTTTTATCTTTCCAATCAGTTATAGAAGTATGATGATATCCTTTGGTCACAATTTGCATTAACCATTTGTAGATTTCAATTGTAAGTGTAAACACCCCTACCCTCTGGAAAAAGTACTTAATTTTCCCCTCAAACTGAATTCTGATGCAACTTCATTCTGAAAATTCAAAGTGTTTGGGAGTTTCAGCATACCGTTAAACTTGTTTTCTGTATTCATGTAATACTAAGGTAGAATGCCTGTAAACCTTTGTCAGTTCCTTTTATCTTTCCAAATGAGGAGCAGTTGGTGGAATTAATGAAAAAAGAGGCTCGATGAAGTGGGGATGGGGCGCTTCAATTGGGAAGTGAGAATAAGCAAACAGAATGAAACTGTCAGTACTTGACAGACCAAAAGAATTGAGTCATCTCAATTCTCAAGTTTGTACCTTTTGAATTCGATCTTCCATGATCAAGGTTTTTAGTTAAAAATCCTCTTCCTTTAGCCATTTTAACTGTTGACATGACCTCTTTTGGAGTGACTGATGACCTCAACTATAAAACCTGAGCATCAGTTAATTGTTAATCGATGTAAAGAAAATGTTGCTTTCATCAATCTTCACCTCCCCTGGATTGGAATAACAGGTGCATGAGTGCATCCTCAGACAATCATATTGTCTCCCTCTGTTCCATGTTCTGCAATCACATGTAGGATTACCCAGTTTAGTGGACTAATGGGTGGTTTCCTTGTTTTGATTATGCAAGGTGGCTTTGATTCTTTTCAGTTCCTTGACTGAAACTATTGGGAATTCTTTTCAACCATATTTTGCCGATTTGCAATCATTGCTGCTCAAGTGCCTTCAAGACGAAACAAGTAACCGTGTCAGAGTTGCAGCTCTCAAGTAAATTTTGTTTGAAAATCTTTAGAACTTCCTCGATCACGAAATTATGTTTTATAATTCTTAATTAAATCATGTAAACAGGGCAGTTGGATCTTTTCTAGAGTTTACTCATGATGAGGCAGAAGTGGTGAGTGTGTTTTGTTCATTATGCTATCTTATGACTCGTGCAGCTTTCATGTTTCCAGTCATTGTAAAGTTTTTCTTCAAATATTGTTAGAGTCAACTTGGTGTAGAGACGGACAGTGGGTGAAATTGTTGGGATCACATGAAAAAATTTCAAAGTCTTGAGAAGAATTGACAATGCCTGTTAAGTTTTAAATATCTTAACTGCCATCTGCCTGAAAATGTGGCTGCTCCTCTTTCCTTCATGCAGGTCAAGTTTCGAGAGTTTATTCCCAGCATTTTGAATGTGTCAAGGCAGTGTCTTGCTTCAGGCGACGAAGATGTTGCTGTGCTTGCTTTTGAAATATTTGATGAGCTAATAGAATCTCCGGCACCTCTACTTGGGGATTCAGTTAAAGCAATAGTGCAGTTTTCTCTCGAAGTTTGCTCAAGTCCTAATTTGGACTCGAACACTCGCCATCAGGTAGGAGCATGATGTGGTTACAGTTTAGTTAGTCTGTTGGTACTTGAATGTTGTGATGTTGTCATGATGTTTTTGCCTGTTCGTCGTCTATTACTTGGACGTGTGATGTTCTCAAGTGTTTTTCTTTGAATTGTTCATTTTTTCAGGCTATTCAAATAATCTCGTGGCTAGCGAAGTACAAGTCAAATTCTCTTAAAAAGTACAAACTAGTCACACCAATTTTGCAAGTTATGTGTCCATTGCTTGCTGAATCTACAGACAGGGATGAAGACGATGACCTTGCTCCAGATCGAGCTGCTGCAGAAGTAATTGATACCATGGCTCTGAATTTGTCTAAACATGTGTTCCCACCTGTTCTTGAGTTTGCTTCTTTAAGCAGTCAAAGTCCCAATGGGAAGTTTCGGGAAGCTTCTGTTACTGCTCTAGGTGTTGTATCTGAGGGTTGTTTGGAGCTCATGAAGAATAAACTGGAACCAGTTCTCCACATTGTGTTGGGAGCTCTGGGAGATCCTGAACAAATGGTGAGAGGAGCTGCTTCGTTTGCCTTGGGCCAATTTGCTGAGCATCTGCAGCCTGAGATAGTTTCTCACTATGAAAGTGTCCTCCCTTGCATTTTAAATGCCTTGGAGGATGTATCTGATGAAGTTAAGGTGCGGACGTGCTAAGACATAGATAAGTCCTGTTGGTGCTGTTTCTATTTCTTCAAAATGGTTTCTGTTCCTGTGCAGGAAAAGTCTTACTATGCATTGGCTGCATTTTGTGAGAACATGGGTGAAGAAATTCTTCCTTTCCTGGATCCATTGATGGGAAAATTACTTGGTGCCCTCCAGAGTAGCCCTCGTAATTTGCAGGAGACTTGCATGGTAAGTGTCCTTTTAGATACTTCAAGAACAGCATTTTGAAGTTGCATCACCTTCTGACCTCTTTTCTTCTTTTATTGCAGTCTGCTATTGGGTCAGTTGCATCAGCTGCTGAACAAGCATTTGTTCCCTATGCTGAAAGAGTTCTAGAGTTGATGAAAGTTTTCATGGTGCTTACCAATGATGAAGACCTCCGTTCACGAGCTAGGGCTACTGAATTGGTTGGGATAGTTGCAATGTCTGTTGGCAGGATAAAGATGGAACCAGTTTTGCCGCCTTTCATTGAAGCTTCAATTTCAGTAAGAAACTTTATAAGCTCTTCACAATTTGGGTTTCTAGTCAAATTACAAACAATTCTTGATAGGTTTTGATGCTATCAGGGCTTCGGTTTGGAGTTTAGTGAGCTTCGTGAATACACTCATGGTTTCTTTAGCAATGTAGCAGAAATTTTAGATGATGGATTTGCTCAGGTATCACAATGTCTTGGATCTTTATACTTTTAAACATGCCGTGTTTTCTTCTATAACTTCCTCTTTTGAAACAGTACCTTCCACATGTTGTTCCTTTGGCATTCACCTCCTGCAACCTAGATGATGGTTCTGCTGTTGATATTGATGATTCCGATGAAGATGAAAATATTCATGGATTTGGCGGTGTGTCATCCGATGATGAAGCGCATGATGAACCTAGAGTTCGTAATATTAGTATAAGGACTGGTGTACTCGATGAAAAGGCAGCTGCAACTCAAGCCCTTGGCTTATTTGCTTTACATACTAAGGGTTCCTATGCACCGTATCCTTTTCTCAATATGTATAAATTTACAAAATCTCATCTCGTTTGACATCGATGCTAATGGTTATTTGGATTCCTTAATGTAACTCAAGCTACTTGGAAGAGTCATTGAAGATTTTAGTGAGGCATTCTAGCTACTTCCATGAGGACGTACGAATGCAAGCCATTATTTCTCTCAAATGTGAGTAGTAATGGGCTGCTTGAGCCAGCTTAATGTTGGCATTCTGTTGCATTGCTTGACCTGGGGCATATATGTTTGTATTGGATAACATGTCAATCTATCTGTAGCTATTTCATGTGTTGTTAGAATCTTGATTTTAAGAGTCTCTTGAGTCTTGATATCTATATGCAATTAAGTTAGCAGGATCTAGAGATATATAAAACACAGCGGAATATCCTCTTGTGCTACAATTTCAAAGTAAAATAGGGACATGAAAAAGGCCTAATTGTTATTGAGGATTGTCTGACACCCTACCATTGAGTTTCTTTCCCGTGTCCCCCTCTGTTACTTCTTTTTTCACTTTCCTGTTTTAGCTATGCCCTTATGAGCTCTATCCCTATTTAAATAGGCTCTACATCTCTCTACTTCTTTGACCAGTTTAGAGTGTCAGTTTACGAAGTGAAATATTAGTCAAACAGTGTACGTATTGCTCCAGTCAGTGTGTTACACGTCACACCTCAAAGACAACATAGAATTTTGCCAACTAATGTATTACATCTTTGTCCGTATGATTTTAGTGAAATGAGATTATGAGTTATTTTGCTTGAAGCTAAGGTGAAGTGGAGATTACCTCGGCACTTGGCAACCTAGGCTAACGATATGAACTCTTTTTAGTGTTTACGCCATTAAGACACATTTGTTCAACAAAATATCTGAAAGTACTCTATTTAGTCTTGTTCATGGCTGGTGCCTCAGCTTAAATACAATGACAAAAAAGGGTTCGAACCCCATAGTTTCCTCCTTGCTGAACTGATTTTCTCATATTCATATATTATGAGGCGGGTCAGAGCATCTTGCTCTGTTGTCATTCTTTGAAAATTTGTAGTTTCACTTCTTGAGGTTTATCTGAGAAAGTATTCTTGAGGTTTATGAATACAATACAAGTGAAGGTCAAGTGGAATAAATAAATCCTCGTGAATCTTGATGTCTGATACTGGTTTTATATATGATGTGGTAATTTCTAGTTTTTTTCAAAAGTACTACTACAAGCTAGCCCGTAAGTGCTCTTTTCTGGATCTGTTTGCTTGCAGATATTCTGATAGCTACACAAGCAGCCCTCCAAGGTCATAATGTGAGTAATGATCTATCTTTCCTTTATCACTGTACTTAGTTTATCATTTATCTTTTCTTCTATTGGCATTTCTTTTAATTTATGGATTTCTTGTTTGTCTGTGGTCAAAGTTAGCTGAAGATTTGGGTGACTTATCAGTTATTCTTACATAGTGCCAGAGGTTTTTGTGCCGTAAGCTTGAGACATGTCATACTGTCACGACCCAAAATCTAGCCATGGTTGTGATGGCGCCTATCGTGTTACAACGCAAGCCTACTTCCCAAAATATTACTACTAAACCGATTATAAGAATTTAATAAAACATTTCAA